GCCAAGCAACGCCAAGCCGAGCCAAGCCGAGCCAAGCAACGCCAAGCCGAGCCAGCTGAGCCAGCCGAGCCAAGCCAAGCCGAGCCAAGCCAAGCCTAGCCAAGCCAAGCGCAAAGCCAGTCAAAGCCAAGCAAAGCAGAGCCACGCCGAGCCAAGCCGAACGCCAAGTTAGAGCAAAGCCAAGAGCAAGGCCAAGCGCAAAGCCAAGAGCCAAGCCAAGCAAAGCCAGTCAAAGCCAAGCAAAGCCGAGCCAAGCCGAGCGCCGAACCAAGCCGACCTAAGCCGAGCCAAGCAACGCCAAGCCGAGCCAGCCGAGCCAAGCCAAGCCGAGCCAAGCCAAGCCTAGCCAAGCCAAGCGCAAAGCCAGTCAAAGCCAAGCAAAGCCGAGCCACGCCGAACCAAGCCGAGCCAAGCCAAGCCGAGCCAAGCCGAGCCGAGCCGAGCCAAGCAACGTCAAGCAGAGCCAGCCGAGCCAAGCCAAGCCAAGCAACGCCAAGTTAAGCCCAGCCAAGCCAAGAGCAAAGCCAAGAGCAAGGCCAAGAGCAAGGCCAAGTGCAAAGCCAAGAGCCAAGCCAAGCGCAAAGCCAGTCAAAGTCAAGCAAAGCCGAGCCAAGCCGAGCCAAGCCGAGCGCCGAACCAAGCCGAGCTAAGCCGAGCCAAGCCAAGAGCAAAGCCAAGAGCAAGGCCAAGGGCAAAGCCAAGCAAAGCCAAGCCAAGCCAAGCGAGCAAAGCCAAGAGCAAAGCCATGCGCAAGGCCAAGTGCAAGGCCAAGCAACGCCAAGCCGAGCCAAGCAACGCCAAGCCAAGCCAAAACAAGCTATGGGCAAAGCCAGGAGGCCAAGCCGAGCCAAGCCAAGGAAAGCCAAGGAAAGCCAAGCAAGGCCAATCAAATCCAAGCGAGCACAGCTAAGCAAGCAATCAAGTAAGCAATGGAGTGAGCAAGGAAGTAAATAGATATAAAAGTACAAGCAGTGCATGTTGCATTATCGACTAGTCAGGGACACCCGTCATTCGGCCATACCCCGGTCAGTGCACAGGCCTAGCCATCCCAGACGCAGCAATGTTGAAGTCTCGTGTCGTTCGTCACGTCGCTAACCATTTGAAGGACCCCCGGGCCTAATCATCAAAGAAGCTGTCGGCTTTGAGCGAGATCGTCCTACATCGGACTTGACTGCGTCCTTTTCGTCTCAGCCGACCTCATGCTCAGCCATTCTCGCTCCGCGGCTCTCAGTTCTGTTTAGACCGCCCAAAGATGCAAAGACTGGAACGTGATCCAGAAACAGCTCCTCTTTGCATCCCAAATCATCCCAATATGCATTCTTGCCAGGTCACCGCCCCGGCTAGAGCACCCAGAGGCCAGCACGCAGTGCGGCCTGTGTTCGGGAAATTCATGATCTTCAGCTGCCGTCGCTTGAGTTTGCCGTGAGTTTGACCCTGACATCGTTGAGCCGGGTTTGGCTCGTTGAGTCTGACACTGTGAAAGGCAATGTCCTCGGAAATGCAGCAAATTCGAGAGAATCTGCAGAAGCTCCGGCGACTACAGGTGTGCTCCACTGCACCGTCGGTTCTTCATGTTGTGTGCATGGTGTTTGCCGCTAACAGAAGGGTTGGTGGCTAGCGTTCAACTCGTCTGTTGTGCGGCTGTGTCAGGGAGCACCTGCAAGCTTGGACTTGTTTGCCGCAGCAGGAGCGAGACGAGAAGGCCTTGTTTGGTGGCAGGAGAGACGGCAAAGGAAGGCCCCTTGCCTGTACATTGATGCCATCACCCTTTCCCTCAATGCACACCCCCCAAGCCGCAGAACTTCTGGAGATCTGCAAAATTTCATCAAATCTTCTGCGAGAGTCCCACTGTGTGGAGGAGCGGCTGTAGGTTTACAGGCAGAGATCGTGTTTGGAGTATGCGTGCCGCCCCCTTTCAGCGAGGTTTGAGTGGCCGGACGGCACTGTCTACGATGGTGAGTGGCGCTCCGATATTGCTGGAGGCTAATATCGGGCCACTCTTCGGAGCATCCATGGAGGCTGTGCTTAGAGTGTTGGGTAAGGTCGAAGGCGAAGCCTTCAAGCGGAAGGTGCAGGCAGGGCTCCTTTGTGGTCTGTAGCTGTCGGTTCTTGAGCAATCGGCGGTCAAGTATGTGATTGGTTTGTTGTTCTTGTGCCATATGTCTGTCTCTGCATAGACATGCATCGTCAGACAGATTACCCCAGGATCTCGTCTTCTGTGCTCTGTTCCATGGTTTGCACGTTCCTAAGCCACTTGCGCGACGCCGAAGCCATTTGCGAGCGCTCTTCTGTTTCCGCTCCGTCGAGCCGATGGATTCGATTGGATGGATCGTCTTCTTAACGTTGGTCTCCAATGGCTTTCGTGTGGTACAAAGCCACGCTTACTTGGCAGATCCACCGAGCCGAAACCTTGTGCGGGCGCAGGCAGGGACGGAAGACTGCCCGCATTGCTTGAACTCCAACGGTCCAGACAACGTCGCCAAGCTGGGCAACAATGTTTGGCCCACGCACCTGGCTCCCGAGTCGCATGGCCTCTGTGGTGATCCGGTACAAGGCCATTCCCAACCCCTCAGCCTTGAAGACGAGGAGTACCTGGTGCCATCGGCCGTGCAAAGGACATACACGGCCGGGAGCGTTGTAGAGTTCCGCGTGGTGGTCTCGACCCATCACACAGGCCATGCAGCCCGGCAAAAACCCTAACCCCGGACCGAAGTTTCAGACGAATCTCATGCCGACCTTGCAGGCCATTACGAGTTCAGACTCTGCAACAGGGTCCTTGACACAACGCTCCAGTCCAGTCGCGAGGACACGCTTTGGCATTCTCCGGACGGAAATATGTATAATATGTATGCATTTCTGCAAACTGTAATTGTTTATTGATGGCTGTGTGAATGTGTGCGTGTAGGCGTGCGTGTAGGTGTATGTGTAGGTGCCGTTGTATTATGTATGTGTCTTGCCAAGGTATGTACGTATGTATGTATGTATGTATGTACGTACGTATGTACGTATGTATGTATGTATGTATGTATGTGTACGCATGTACATACGTACGTACATACGTTATATGTATGTATATATGTATGTACGTATGTATGTATGTATGTATGTATGCATGTAGGTAGGTAGGTAGGTAGGTAGGTAGGTAGGTAGGTATGTATGTATGTATGTATGTATGTATACCTATGTATGTATGTATGTATGTATGTATGTATGTATATGTATGGATAGGTACGAGTATGTTTGAATATGTATGTAGATACGTTGCAGCGTCGCCCGACCCCCCCCTCCCTCCCCCCACCCCAGCCCGCTCTGTGCTCCGCCGCGGCTCCTTTGTGGGGCTCTGGGTGGCCTCATGCTGTCCCAGGCCACGGCCCCCCAGTGGTGTGGTCGTAGGTTCGGGCTTGTTGAACCCTTGTTGTCCCCCTGTGGTGTGGTGCGTGTTGAATTTTGGGTGATTTAACCACCCCTCTCCCCTCCTTAGTGTGGTGTGGTGTGGTGGTGGGTGTTTTAGTGTTTAACCTCCCCCGTCGTTGGGTTTAGGGTTCAGGGTTCGCACCCGCAGCCCCCTTGTGGTGTGGGTGGTGGGGTTGTTTAGGGTCTATAGGTGTCTGTACGAAAGACCTTTATGTATT